GAGCATGGCTGCCCGCAGCGACGAATTACCACGCACTGCCGAATCCCAGAACTTACTGTGGCCAGCCTCCCAATCACTGATGAAACCTTTCCGGCACTGGCTCCACAGGCGGTAGAGGCCTCCTGTGTGGGTTATGGGCCGCTCTCCTGCCGGCAGCTTCCCCATCAGAAGAACTAGATTGTTCAACTCCTGACTGGGCCACTGCCGCTGCTCCTCAATCCTCCTCAAAATGCCCACCAGCTGCCTCTGTCCCTCCACTGGGAGCCGCCCCCAAAACCGAGGGTTCCACTGGTCAGAGCCCTCCCCGATTTTCTTCCGAAACCGTTTGCAACACTGCGCCACCTGGACCTCTTCAAGTGCCTCCGGAAGGTCGTCCTCGAAAGTGCGACGTTTCAGCGCTTGTAGCCAGTCAGGCATAGGTGGCTCGTCCTGCAGCCCTAGCTGCTTACCAGGGGCCCAGAGCTTACCCCACCGAGCTGCTTTGAGATCCATGACTCGAATCGGGTCCTGGACCCATTCGAGGGTCTCGGGATCCTGCTCTTCGCACGGGGGCTGCGGCGCCTTCTGGTCCCTCACTGTAAACGCGTGGGCCTTTTTAGCTCCATTCTTAAGGGCATCTTGGAGCCACTCCTTGAATCCTGCTCTCTTGGCATCTTGGACGGCCTTGAGGACCTCGACATAGCGACGCTGCCCGAAATTGACCAGCCCATTGATATGAGCTGCTAGTGCTTTGACAATCCTCCTCGTCCTCTGCACCTCGTCCTCCTCTGCGCCGCCTCCCTCCTCCTCCTCCTCAACGCCGCCTCCAGCCTCCGCCTGGCCGCCTCCTCCTCTTACCCTCCTCTGCCTCGATTCTGCCTCCTCACCCTCACGCCCCACAGCCCTCCCATCCTCTGCACTGCCCGACGCCCTCCCTGGGTCAGGAAGTGAGGGAAGGCCACGTCCATCTGGCCAGGCTGCTGACTGGAGCCCGGCGTTGAGGGAGTCGTGGAGCTGGCGAAACTCAGGCAAGTCTAGCCTTACCTGCTCAAGGAGCGCCCGAACCGCCTCTCCCCCAGCGTCCGTCCCGGCCTCCTGCTGCTGATGCTGCTCCTCCGTCCTCGGCTGCTGCTCCTCAACCCACCTGTCCAGCTGCGCCACTGCATCACGAAAGAGCTGTACTTTCGCGAATGTGAACCTGGGTCGGAGAATTTGCTGCAAGTTCCTGAGACGAGCCACAATACCACCAGCCAGTGCTAGGTGCGGACACCCGGTCTCATACGGCTTCGAGGGCTTGAGGTATGGCATGACGTTGTACCTCGTTCCTGAAGAGCGGCTCACTTGCGACTCCTGGCAGGCCCGACTATACAAATATCCTTCGGCCATGGCGCTGAACTCGGCGAAGGAATGAGTTAGCCCAGCTTCTGAGGCTGACTGCATATCTTGCGCCCCATCGGGCAACTGAACATCCAAGGGTCTGAAATGCTCCCAAGGCAGGTCTGGCCCAAAATGTCCGTCGACACGAAACCCAGGCGATAAAACTCTAGCTCGCATGTGCAGCTCACGGAAGTTGCACTGGAGGTAGATTCGGAATCCCAGATGCGGAGACCAAGGCCCACATAGATCTGCCTCGCACTGCACCAACGCTGCCAACCTGTTGGACACGACCACGTAATCGATAACCCTGCCCGAGTTGCAAGTGAAGGCTACCGGGGGAGACCGAACTTGGCCATGTACTTGTCGTAACCAATCTACCTCATACAGCTCCTCTGGCGTGAAATTCCAATCAGCTGCGATGATGAACTGCAGCCCGACGGACTGTATCAAGATCGCGATCTGCTGCCAGAGGACTACATTCTGGTCGTACGGGCCTACGCTGTCGTGGAAGTAGGCCGCAATGAGCAGTATATCCTGCCCCTGCACGCGGACGATGACTGCCGTCCACTGTTCCTGGGGTTCGTCCTGGAAAAGGATGGGACTCCAAAACCTGTTGGAGACTGCAAGGCTCTTCCTAGCCAAAATCCAGACACCCCCGTGCCCCTGACCGCCCTGCACTGACATAGGCTCGGCCTCTCTGGCATACCCTCTCCAACCCCTTTTTTCGTGGCTTCGAAGGGCCGTCTTAAGTCGAGCTCCTCGCAGGTGCGTTTCAGCTCCGAGGTGCACTTGAACATCGGAGACCGCCGAAGAGCTCACGTACTGCTCCGCCTTCTCCGACCACGCCGTGTAGTTAGCGAAATACAAACAGAGGCAATGCTGAACATCTGTTCCAGCATCCTCCTCTGCTTCTCCTGGCCTGCTACTCCTCTCAACCTCAACCTCCTCCTTCCCCTGGGAGATCCCGAAGGGCGCGGGACGGCACGAGGCGTTACCCATCATCTGGTTTCTTTCCCGGCTCGCTTTCGTCCACGGGGGAACGGGACCGAGCGTGGGCTGGGGGGCCATCCCGGCCCGTGGGCTCTCCTCTCCCAGGGTCGTCGCGCCCTCCTTTGCCCGCTCCTGCCCCGCCTCCTCTTCCTCCTCTGCTAGCCTCCTCCCCTCCTCCTGCTGCCACTCCAGCGTCCCCTGCCCGTGCCGCTGCCACTGCAGGTGCTGCTGGTTCTGCTGTCGTCGCTGCTGGTTCTGGGGGTTGGGCTGGGGGTTCGGCGGCCGGGCGCCATCCTGCAGCCGCCAGCTCGACAACACGTTGGGCTGCCTCCTCCGAGAGTCCTGCATCTCGCTGGAGGCCGGCCACGCTCGGAGCGGGCGGGGCCTCCTGGACCCGCTCTCCTCCTTGTCCTCCTGGCCTTCCTGCTGCTGCACCCGCTCTTGCTTCAGCCCTGGCTCCATCCACCTCCATCCTCTCACCTCCTCCTCCTCCTCCTCCCGCTGCTGCTGCTCCTGGGAGGGGTAGGACGAGGTCGACGATGCCCAGAATTGCCTGCTCGATCGGAGGCTCAAAGCCGGTAGCAGCCGTTTTGAAGCGTTCTCGAACCAAGGCACGGGTGTCATCTCCAATTTGCCCTTCCTCCTCACGCTTCCGTTTGGCAGCCTGTAGCTCTTCCTCAGCCCCCTGACGCTCCTGGACGGTGTGCTGGAGCTTTTCTTCCAGAGCCTCCATCTCCTCACGAATAGTCTCTTCAAGCTGGACAAGCTGATCGACCTTCTTTTGGGCCTTACCCACGGCTTGCTCCGCTCGCTGGAAACGGACCCCCTGGGGAAGAGCCTGGAACTTTTGAACCTTGAGCTGTTCGAGCCCCTGCTTGAGGCTGGTGGCGAGATCGGTTGCGACTTGGCTGCTCTGGCTCTCCAATTGCTGGCCCAGCTCCGTAGCAAGCTGGACCACGCGCTGGTGAGCGGCCGCCTCATCCTTACCCTTCCCGCGTTTGCGCTTACCTTCTGCTCCTGCCACCTCACCACCTCCACCTCGACCTCCTCCTCCTCCTTTGGTGCCCTCAGCCTGTCCGAAAGACTGAGATCCTCCAGAGCCCCATTGGTGACGAGGTTTGGTATGGTCAGCTGGCTGAACTTTAGGTGCTGGGGCATAGCAGTGCTTGCACCAAGTCCAATAGAGACGGTTCTTGCGACAACCACACTGCTGACAAGCCCAAGTAGCTTCATCACGCCCATTCTGCCAGCCCATGGGCCCGCTCGGACGCGCTGAGGGGAGTAGACGGTCCCCAACCTAGAAAAGCACAAGGGGGTTAGGCCCCCAACCACGGCTGAACCCCTTGAGCGAGGTTGAGTAGTTAAGGAGCAGGCCCCTTGAGCCAAAATGGCTACGGCCCTCCTCCTCCTCCTCCTCCTCCTCCTCCTCCTCCTCCTCCTCCTCCTCCTCCTCCTCCTCCCTCCTCCTCCCCCTCCTCCTCCTCCTCCTCCTCCTCCTCCTCCTCCTCCTCCTCCTCCTCCTCCTCCTCCTCCTCCTCCTCGTGCTGCTGCTGCTCATGCTCCTCTCTCTCTCTCTCTCCTGCTCGTCCTCGCCACCCCCCCTCCCCTCCATCGACGCCCTCCCCCCTTTGTGGAGGACGAGACTGGAGGGCAAAGGTGAGGACTGCGATTGGTGGGTATCTTGGGGACCCCCTGCTGCCCGTGAGCAGCGTGCCGAAGAAGCCGCCGACCACCTGGAACAGCATCAGGAAGCCCTGCAATTTGCCGAATTCCGGCATGCCGCCGAACATCTTGGCCTGGGAGAACAAAAAAGGTACCGATACCGCTACTCCCCAGATCTCTTGCAGGGTGCATTCTGACCAGAATTTCGAGGAGAATCCAGCCGTGGCGGCGAGAGCTCTCGAAGTCGAGCGGCGGTGCCGGTATATATTCCTCCTCTGATGGCCGGCTTCGAGGAGAGCACGCCGAAGGAGGCGCCGAAGCCGAGCCCGTAGACGACCGCAAACAGCAGCAGCTGGGCGTGGCCGCTGGCCAGCCGCCAGGTGGTGAAGTCGAAGGCCAGGCTCGTGCCGAGGGCCAGCGCCACGCTGCTCCCCACGCACGCGGCGCCGCTGGCCCGGGAGTCGAGCGCGGCGCCCACCAGCAGCTTCCCGAAGATGGAGGCGAAGAAGACGGTGGAGGGCTGGCGGCGCGCCCAGTCTCCGACGAGATGTCCTCGTTCGATCCAGGCGTTCGCCCTCGAGTTCGGCCTCTGGAGCCCGTCGGGCCGCGGGAGCATCAAAAACGGGCCTGGGGCGAAAAACTGGCCCCAGGGAAGAGGTCAGGACGTCTTGGGGCTGCGCATTGAAAAAGACATGCCGTCAGGTGCCTGGAGGAGGCGCGAGTGCGGGGCGGGCCTCTGAGGAGCAGGAGGCCTTCTTGGAGGGGCCCAGGGGCTTCCAAGGATCGCTCTCGGAGGCCTCTGGGCTCTTCTAGTGGGAGGCAACGTTTGGGGGGGACCAGCTCAGGGGGGAAACGCCGATCCAGAACCGGCGATACATCGCCGATAGATCGCACGGACGCGGCTTGCCATCGGGCCCCTATCGACGATGAATGGGCGAGAGAGGGTCGATGCATCCCCCTCTGAGCCTACCCCCCCCACCGTTGCCCCTGGTCCGAGAAGGCGCCCGCCTTCTTGCGAGACCGCCGCCTCACGCCACCGCCCTCGCGCGCGCCGCCAAGAGGAGTAGAGGCTGCACCTCTCCAGCGACATGCCGACGTCCTTGTTCAGGTCCGCCACCGTGCTGCGAAGCACGAGATAGAGTGCCCTCAGGTCCATCGCTATCCTCACTCCCCAGCCCTCAAGAAAGGGAATTACGGGCCTGGACCCCAAATTCTCAAATGTTCCGGGGTTCCCTGCGTGCCTCCCGCGGTTCCCCGGCGCTTCCCACATTATTTTCTCGGAGCCACAAGCGCCCCAAAACGGCGCAAGAGGGCCCCGAACTGCCTTCGACCTGCAACCCAAGCGCGGTGGCGAAGCCCAGTCAATACTCCTCCTCTTCCTCCACCTCCTCCTCCTCCGCCTCCTCCTGACATTCCCCGCCATCCTCACCCAAGTGTTCCCCGAAGGGTTTCCACAACGGCTGGGGGAACACATGGTCCGATAGCTTGGCAGAGCTCTTGCCACAACGCTCGGACAGACGGGCGATTTCAAACCTCTTGCTCCCCCACGCGTTCCCCGAAGGCTTTCCAAACCGACTCGGGGAACAACTGGCCCGATAGCTTGGCCAAGCCCTAGCCCAGCTATCGGCCACATAGGCGCCTCCATAAGGGCAGGGGGCGGCGTTGATTCGCCGTATCGCAGGCCTAGAGGTTGACACCAACACCAAGATCGGCGGTGTGCCTCCACCGAGGGAAGAAGATCCCGATCTCGGTGATGGTGGTATAATATTCTGGCTTCCAAGGTGACCGAAATATTACCACCAACACCGAAATCTAGGCTCATCTTTCCCACGTGGAGGCAACCCCCTGTGCTGGTGTCGGTGCCAATTTCCAGGCTTCCGACCGTAGGCATCTTCGATACATGACCAGGGTGTTAAGCAGGGCGATCACGACAGCAGGGCGACGAGATCCGCGCACACACCCACCGATTCTCTCCGGCCAGGCCGCGCCTGTGCCCCGGAGTGGTGCCCAATGCCTCCCCAGGCAAGCCACGGGGGGGGGGGGCGTACACCACGCGAAATGGTTAAGAAATCATGGGTTAAGAAATTCATGGCCTCAGAACTTGCATAAAAACCCAAAATTTCTATTAAAATCTTAGGACTTACATTGAAACGTTAAGAATAATCGAGACTCTGGCCGAAAACTTAAGTTTTCTTAAGCATCGCCTAAAGTGTACACCCCGCTCCTGGGCCCTTAGGACGGGCCTGGGCAAGGGCGGTGGATGTGCGTTGGGGCAGTCAGAAGGTACCGATACCGCTATGCCCCCCGAGACCTCTCTTCGGGGATGGACAGAACTCCTTTTAGGAGAACGTGGTTTGGTGAAAACGACCTCGGACCCAACCTGCGCCCAGGAGTGGTGCAGAATGCCTCCCCAGTCAAGCCACCGGGGGGCCGCATACACCGCACCTGGGCCCAGGATGGGCCTGGCCAGGGGCGGTGGATGTGCCCTGGGGCAACCAAAGTGTACCAACACCGCTGCTCCCCAAGACCTCTCTGGGGGTGCGCTCTGACCAGGAATCCCACCAGCCCTTTGGGCGACAGGTGGTCTAAAGAGGGTCTCGTTCCTCTTCCACAACCCCTCTTCCCTTCGGGGAGGGGAACCCTCCACATCCCCTCCCTGAGGTTTTTTGAAAGGGGGACCGATGTGTCAGAGGGTCCTTTTTCGGCCCCTGGGAGGGCCAACTTGTGACACCCCTCACGAGGATCGTGGCCCCCGAGGGGGGGAGGGAAATCGAAGACCCCCCTCTTTTGACCAAGCGCCTCCAAGATGGCCCAAAGAGGCCCTCCAGGGCTCCCAAGAGGCTCCCAAGAGGGCCCAAAGATCGCCCCAAGAAGCCCCAAGAGGCCACCAAGAGGCACCCGAGAGGCCCCGAAGAGGCCCCCGAGCGGCCTCAGAGAACCCAAGATGACCTCCAAGATGGCTCAGATAGCCCAAGCAAGATGGCTCCCAAGATGCTCCAAGCGGCCCCAAGATCGCTCCAAGGCGGCTCGAGATGGTCATGGAGCCTCCCAAGCCTCCCTCGCTGTTTGACTATGCGTGTCTCTTCCTCTCCCCCCGTCAACTCTCATGGGCATCGTTTCTGGATGGGCCGGTGGGGATACTTTTGTCTTCGCGGGCGCAAGCGGAAGCGCAGGCGCCGAGTTGAAAGGTCCGGGCCACGGGCCGATCTAATTAGCAACGCGCAACCTCCCGGTGGGGATACGCGGGGCGGCAAGCACTCCGAGGCGGACGCAGCGGTGGCGACGAGGACCTCCCAGGAGGCCGAGAGAGAAGAGAGAGAGAGAGAGAGGAAAAAAAAATAATAAAACATAATAATAATGTATATATATATATATATATATTTTTTTTTAAAAAAAAAAAAAAAAAAAAAAAAAAAAAAAAAAAAAAAAAAAAAAAAAAAAAAAAAAAAAAAAAAAAAAAAAAAAAAAAAAAAAAAAAAAAAAAAAAAAAAAAAAAAAAAAAAAAAAACGGGGCCAGGGCAGCGCGCTCGGGACCTTTCTCCCCCCCCCCCCGATGGTGCAGATCTCGCCGCCTCGGGATGTACAGCTGGTAGAGCGACATCAGCGCGAGGTGCCAGACGGCGCCGAGCCGCAGGCTCGAGGCGAACGAGAGCGGCGGGCCCAGCAGCCCCCCATCGGCGACCGCGGCCTCGTCGTCCTTGGATGAAGGATTTCAAAAAAAACCTGGGGATTTCAAAAAAAACCTGGGTTTTTTTGAAAGAAGGATTTCAAACACAAAAAAAAAAAAAAAAAAAAAAAAAAAAAAAAAATGGGTTTCAAAAAAAAACGTTTTTTTGAAACCCAGTTTTTTTTGAAATCCTGGGTTTTTTTGAAATCCTTCGTTCTGGGGACCTTCCTGGAGACACTCGCTCCGCTCGCGCGTCGCGCGAGGCTGCGTCGAGCGTCCGTCGCCCCGAGTCGACCCTGAGTCGATCCTGAGTCGAACCTGAACCGAACCTGAACCGCACCTGCGTCGAGCTGGAGTCGAACCTGAGTCGAGCTCGAGTCGAGCTGGGGTCGAACTGGGGTCGAACAGGTCCGACAGGGGGGCCCCAGGCAGGTCCCCCCAAAACGAGCATCTAATCATCCTGGGCCGCCAGGTGCGCGCGCCCGATGCAGCTGGCCGACGCGCTCCCGCCCCCCGCGCCGCGCGGCCTGGCGCCCCCCTGCACCTGGAGGCCTCCTAGATGGAGTCCGAGTAGATGGCGCCCGAGGATCGCGCCGCATCGGGGGTGCATCGATGCATCGGCGACATCGGCGACATCGGCGATGCATCGGCGACGCCAGCGTGGAGAAAATCGGAGTCCACATCGAGACGCATCGCCGATTCATCGCCGATGCATCGGCGATGCGGCGCGATAGGTGGCCACATCAGAACCCTACCCCCACCGGCCATCGATCCTCCTGAATCGATGGGAGGCGGGGTCGGGTTCGGATTCCGCCACTTGTCCAACAAATTCCGAATCCTACCCCCGCCGCCCATCGAGATGCCTGAATCGTTGATCGGCAGGGGTAGGGCTCGGATTGCGCCACCGACGCGATCCTCCGACCCCATCTACTCGGACCCCAGCTAGGAGGCCTGGAGCTGGGGAAACCAAAAAGTACCGATACCGCTACTCCCCGGACCTCTCCTGGGGTGCGTTCTGACCAGAATTTCGAAGCGAATCCAGCGGTGGCGACGAGGACCGCCCAGGAGGCCCAAAAAGGGGAAGACGAGCGAAGAGTAGAAATATGGGTACCTTTTTCAGGGCCCCGTAAACCTGGACACGCTAGACCCCGACACCCAACATCCCTTACAAACGATTTTTCCAGACGGAGGCACGAACAACTCACTGCACTGCCGCACTTCCAGAATAAACCAGGGCACAGTCCCTAAAAGCCTGCAAGACCCCTCCAAACCCGGACACGAATCCTGCAGCGCAGCAAACAAAAAAATCACAGGTGCTGGAAAATGCGTCTTTGCAGGAAAGGGTGTCGTTTCCTTGCTTTCCCGTGTCCTGGTTTATCTGTGTCCTGGTCTCTGGGGGCCTGACTTTTCCTCCTCTGAAGAGCACCGCGGCCGGCTCGCTGGTGACGAGGCACTCGGGCACATCGCCCGGGGCCCGGTCCAGCACGAGTTGGAGGAGGGCCCTGTCGAGGCAGCGGCGGGCCTCCCCCTGCGCTCTCTCTCGCGCCGCTGTGGCCAGGATGCGCCTCGGAAAACGGGCCAGGAGAGAGGAGAGAGGAGGAGGAGGAGGAGGAGGAGGAGGAGGAGGAGGAGGAGGAGGAGGCGGAGGAGGAGGAGGAGGAGGCGGAGGAGGAGGAGAGAGAGGAGGAGGAGGAGGAGGAGGAGGAGGAGGAGGAGGAGGAGGAGGAGGAGGAGGAGGAGGGGCAGCTGGAGGAGGAGGAGGAGGAGGAGGAGGAAGAAGCAAAGACTCAACTGTACGATATCCAACTCTGTCGATGTGCTGTGGGTGCACCGAGCCCGGTTGAGCGTGCCTCAGTCGAGGGACCCCCACTCTCGACACCCTGAGCCAAGGACGCGCACGGACGGAGACACGTCACTCTGCTCACGTTACACACGCACTGCAGCGCTGCACTCGCATGGCAACAGAACAAGAAACGGGTCAGGAGGGATCCAGGGCCCGACTTTCAGCGGATCTGGGCTGGGCGGGAAAGCCGCCGCGACCTCAAGTAGCCCTCCTCCGAAGGAGTCGGCCACGCGCAGGAGTGACCCGTGGCGAGGGGGGCCTCCGAGGGGGCAGCAAGCCCGAGTGCTCAAGCAGCCGCTACCGCACCACGTGCAACAATCGGGGGGCCCCAGCGGGCCCGCACCACAGGCAGGGCCAGGCAGCATCGAAACGGGAAACCGGATCGGATCGAGACGCGTGCATCGGATCGGGCTGCATCGGCACGGAGTCGAGATCGAATCGGATCGGCTGCGCCAGGATGCACAACAGCGCCAGGCAGGCATCGGGCCGCACCGGATCGCCGGAGCCTCCGACCCGCATCGGAGCGGCCAGCTGGAATCAACGTCGAATCGGATCGGTCGGTCGGCACAAGAGGTCACTCTCGCGCGTGGTCGCATGAAGCTCCCGTCGCCCTCTCCGGCCCGCGGCAGCTGCTGCGGGGCGTGCTGGCCCGCCAGCGGGCCGTCGCCGAGCACGCCGAACACGAGCGGCACGACGACCGCGACCATGGCCACGGGGCACAGTGCGGCGGCAGCCCTCCAGCCGTGCCGGGCCGCGACCAGGGCGACCACGGGCGGGAAGACGGCCCCGGCGATGCTGAAGGCCGTCACGAGGATCCCGATCGCCAGCGCCCGGTGCCGCTCGAACCACGAGGTCGTGAAGACGATGAAGGTGGCGATGCCGCAGAAGTCGTAGGCGGCGCCGTACACGGCGTGCAGGGCGCCCAGGAGCCGGAGGCCCTGCGCGAACGGGTAGCACAGGGACGCGGCGGTGACGACGACGGCCCCCAGGCGGAGGCACCTCACGGCTCCGAAGCGGTGCGCCGCGTAGCCGCCGGGCAGCGTGAGGAGCCCCTTGGAGAGCTGGAAGAGGGCGGGGAGCCACGAGATGCCGTACTCCGTCGCGCCGAACTCCGCGGCCAGCTGGTAGGGGGCCACAAGCGAACCCTACCCCTACCCCCCACGATTTCTGAGGGGGAGGGTGGGGTTCACTTCGCTCGTGACCTCCCGAAAGAAGTGAACCCCACCCTCCCCCTCAGAAATCGTGGGGGGTAGGGGTAGGGTTCGCTTGTGGCCCCCTAGCTGGGGCAGCAGGACCGGGGCAGTGTGGTAGGTTGCGCCCGCAGTGACGAGGAACGCGAGGAAGGCGCCCAGAATCTGCCTCCAGTGGACCAGCAGCTCCGACGCGGGATCCTCGGCCAGCGGAGCCATCAGGCCAGGCAGGCGCTCCCTGCGCAGCAGCGGAAGTCGCGGCCATCCCTCGGCCGCCGTTGCGCCAGAACCATGTCAGGCTGGACGCGAGGCGGAGGCCCGGCGCCAGTCTCGGGCGCGGTACGGCCGCGGATGAGAAAGAGCGGAAGGGTCGGGTGTTGCTAAGAGTGCCCCTGGCGCAAGGCGCCCCCGGGATTTCGAAGGAGGCCCCTCTGCGGCCTCCAGAGCACCCCTCGCGAGGCCCACGGGGGCACAGGGGCTCCAAGATGGAGCGAAACGCTGGGGGCACCTAGGGCCAGGAGCGCCTTTAGCAACCCCTGAAAGGGATAGGAGACGCAGGCGGTGGGAGGAGCCACATCACGACGACGACGACGACGACGACGACGACGACGACGACGACAGCAGGGACCATGGCGGCGGCCCCGCCCCCTGAAAAGCAGAGAAGGCCAGGAACCCCAGGCAAGCTGTGCAGCCCAACTGGCCATCTGAGGAAAGAAATGCCCTCTCGGGTTTTCGGGCCGACGGCACCTCAGCGCGGACCTCACCCCAGAGCTCGGAATAATGCTTGGATTCATCCTTGTTTTTCCCAAGTCAATGTCTTCACCAAGAGATCGGACTTTTCTTGCTGTATCAGCAGGCGGGTTCCCAGGATTCTCGCAGCCCGTCGACGCCCGTCGACGCCTCGTGTGCTGGCTCGGCTCTCCCAGGTTGCCCCCCGTCGCCGTTCGTTGTCGCATCGTGTGCCGGCTGCGTTCCCTGGGTGTTCGCCCGATCGCCGACAGTCGCCACCCCGTGCGCGCTGGTTGGATGATTCCGGTTTTCGCTGGTCGCCACCCGTCGCCGCCTCTTCGCCAACTAACATGTTAGTTGGGTTCCCTGGATGTTCGTCTTGCCGCCGCCCGTCACCGCATTACTACGACAAGTACTACGAAGACAACCCGTGGCCCATGTTCCCACAACGACTGGCTTTCTGAGAAAATTCCATGTATTCCTGCTGGACGCATAAACGAATGTTGCGGGCTCCTAAACAACATTCCTTGGATCATTTTTTAAATGTACCTGTTGATTTATGACACGATGGGAATTCTGGAAAAAAGAACCTGGATAACACCAAAGATTTATTTCCAAACTATCAGGGGCACTGTTTGGTAATACTGTTTGGGTCTGGATAAATCCTTGATAAAATGCTTCGGATTGTTCTGCGCCCCGCAACTATCCTGCCGAAGCTTTCGGGGATTTGGGAAGAGAGCGCAATGATTAATCTAAGAATCCTTCGCCCCTCGAGAAAAATATCGTCGAAGACAATGAAGATAAACACGGGTTGTTCTAGTTCCTCACTCCATGCTTCGGAATCCTGCAAGGGGCCCTCAGGGTTGTTTGCGAAATTAGACGGCGACCGATTAAAAGTTACGGGACGATTTGGAACCATGTCAGATGTCAGAATACAGAAAAGACGCTTGCCAGCGCGAACCCCAACCAATGATGTCATTGTCATCTACGCGGTGCCATCTAGGCGCTACAGTCACTTCGGTGAACTCTGGGCGGCGCACTCCGTGTAGCGCATCCGATGCGGCGCAAACCGATGCAAAACAACGCAACACAACGCAACGCAGCGCAGCGCAACGCAATACAAACAATGCCAAGCAACGCACAGCAACGCGAAGCAACGCAAAGCAAAGCCAAGCAACGCAAAGCAACGCAGAGAGATGAAAACCCACGCAACGTAACGCAAAGCAACGCAAGTCCTAGGCATGAGAAGCCATGCAACACAACGCAAAGCAATATACCGACGGGAAGAAGGCACGGGGCAACCCGCAGGTTTCGAGCTCGTCGCGGCCGCGCTCAGGCGGGGGACAGCTTGAAGTCCAGCTACGCAGCCCCGGAGCCCACGAGCGCCTGGCGCGGCCACCAGTGCGCGTCCGACAAGCCCGCGCGACCAGCGCCCTCATCCCTGGCGCAGTCGACGGCGACGCCCTTGCGCAGCGTCTGACCCTGCGACAGCGTGGAGGTCAGGTAGGACGCGCGCGTCAGAGTGAACCCTGAGCGGCGCACGACGTGCGGCCCCGAGCTCTGCCAGGTTAACTCCTGCTCGCTGGACCTGAACATGAGCAAGCTCCTCGCCCGTGCCTCGGCCTCGCCGTCGTCGTCAGCGCCTTCGGCACCCTGTAGCATCAGCTCGGCGACCCCGTGGTAGATTGGGGACTCCTTGGAGCCGTGGACCTGCATCCAGATTCCCTGCAGCAGGTAGCGCGGGCGAAAGAGCTGGCCCGGCGCGCGCTCCTCGTAGTCCCGCTCGTCGTCTGGGCGAAACCCGAAAAACACGATGGTGGCCCGTTGCTCCTGCACGAGCCCCAACTTCTTCTTCGGCTCCTCCTGCACGGCCGTGAACCGAACCAAACCTCCTGTGCCCCTGCGCCCGGTTCGGCCTCCGATCGGTTACAACCGGCGTCCTGGACGCAAGGGTTCCTCCTGCGCCCGATTCGGGCGCGGATGGATTACATACAACCCGCGCCCCGGAGGCCCCAAGAGGCCCCCAAGAGGCCCCCAAGAGGCCCCAAGAGGCCCGCAAGAGGCCCCAAGAGGCCCCGAAGAGGCCCCCAGAGGCCCCCAAGAAGCCCCAGAACTGACCCCAAGAGGCCCCCGAGAGCGCTCCGAAGAGACACCGATGAGCATCCTTGACCACTCTGACCCACAACCCAGGCACGAAGGCGAGATGGGCCGAAAGCCATTCGATCCGCAGCGGCGTGCTAAATTATTTCGGTTTTGGTTTTGGTTCTTTTTCCAAACGAACTCCCCCTGGGGCTTCGGCTCGTCCCGCCGGCCACCCGAAAGGCCCGGAATTCTCCCAATGTTTCGCTCAAGATGGCCCAAGATGGTCTCCAAGAAAGATGGCCACGTTGGCCCAAGATGGCCTCCAAGATGGTCCAAGATGGCCTCCAAGTCTGCCCAAGATGGTCCAAGACGGCCTCCCATACGGCCCAAGAGAGTCCAACACACACGGCCGCAGACGGCCCAAGAGGCCCCCCAGAGGCCTCCAAGACGGCCCAAGAGGCCTCCAAGAGGTCCTCCAGGAAGGCCCGAAGAGGCCAAAATCATTGATTTCCCCTGGGCTTTTGAAGGATTTTCGCATTCGCTTCTTCTCGGCTTTCCGACGACCCAAGACGGCCCAAGAGGCCCCCAAGATCGCCCCCACAGCGCCCAAGAGGCCTCCAAGATGGCCTCAGGACTGCCCAAGAGGCCCCCAAGACGGCCCCAAGAGGGCACAAAGACTACCCAAGAGGCCTCCAAGACGCCCAAGATGGCCTCTAAGGCGGCCCTGGAGCACCCCAAGAGGACCCAAAGTCGGCCCAGAAAGACAACCCAAACGGATTCCGACGGCGTCAGACGGGCCAGGAGCCCACCAAGATGGCCGAAGTTGGCTCGAAGCTGGCCCAAGACGGCACAAGAGGCCTCCAAGAGGGCCTCCAGGAAGGCCAGAATAGGCCAAGATAGAAGGGAGGCAAGAATAGGCCAGAATAGGCCAGGAGGGCACTGATTTCCCGTGGGTGTTAGAAGGATGCTGACATTTGCTTCGTTTCGGCGTTCCGACGGCCCGATACGGCCCAAGAGCCCTCAAAGATCGCCCCCACAGCGCCCAAGAGGCCTCCAAGATGGCCCCAGAACGGCCCAAGAGGCCCCCAAGACGGCCCCAAGAGGCCCCCAAGACAGCCCAGGAGGTTTTTAAGACGCCCCAGATGGCCTCCAAGACGGCCCTGGAGCATTCCAAGAGGACCCCAAGTCGGCTCAGAGAGGCCGAGCAAACGGCTTCTGACGGCGTCGGACGGGGCAGGGGCCCACCAAGACGGCCGAAGATGGCACCAGCATGGCCCAAGACAGCCCAAGAGGCCTCCAAGAGGCCTCCAAGACTTTCCAATGCTCAGTGGAATTTTTAAATTCCACGCGGCGTTCGGGGCTAATATTAATCACTGCCCTCGCGGCAAGGGCGCCTACGAGCAATGGGGGTCGCGCGCACGAGCGGGGGACATATAATTAATGCCGCCATTCAAACAATGGCAAACACAGATATTATTGTTGGATAATCTTACCACTTGTATACGCATTATTGTTGTTGGATACCCAATATTATTGTTGGATACCCATGATTATTGTTGGATACTCAGTATTACTATATTGTTGTTGGATACCCATTATTACTGGACGCCCCCGCGCGCGCGCTGCGGCGCGCGCGCGGAGAACTCTGCCTTGCCCACAACTGATTAAAAGTCGCCAGGTTGGCCTGGGAACTGACATGAACTGGCGATGCTCAATGTCTTTGGGATATCGTCGTGGGAGGCCTCTCGCCCAGGGCGCGTTGGAGGCAATTGTGAAAGAATGTCAATCGAGAGCCGTCGGCGCCCACTCGCGGGGCACGTTGAAGCATAAACAAAGCATTCGAATGATTAAATCAATCGTTGGTTGCTATGATATGTGCGTCAATGTGTAAGAATGCATATACATGAATATGTATGCGCGTGTATACATGCAAGTGTGCATGTGGTTGCGCGTATATACAATACACACAGGTATATATATATATGATCATATGACCACCGCTGCACTAATTAACCCAGGGGAAGAGGAATAATATGCCTGCATGGGGGGCGATTCTTGGGAGTCAGGTCTGAAGCCTCTGGGAAACCCAAGCCTCTTGTTGTTTTTCCTCCTGCAGCGCCCCCCCCCCCCAGGTATTGGGTTTGTTGGGGACCTTCGGGGGGTCCTTATTATGGCGGGCCTCTCGGGGATTTCTGATGACCATTTTCTTGTTCCCCCCTTGTGAGCCCCTCTTCTCGGATATATCTGCTTGGGATCCTCTTAAAGTCTTGGGCCGTCTTAGGCGCATCGCGGGCCGCGTGGAAGCACGCTCGGGCGGCCTTGGGCCTTGGGGCAGTTTTTGGGAGCCTTACCCTCCTCATCATTTGCCTCCTTCATTGTCCGCCCATCCACCTCCGCATCCTTTCCTCGCCCACCCCATCCATCCCCCGCAGCCGTTTTGGCTTCGACCGCGCGCCTGCCGCGCGCGCGGCTGCATCGGCCTCCTCTACCTCCTTCTCATACTTTCCATCGGCCTTGGCT